CGGGACGTGACGGTATAGATTTGTTTTCGCGGTATTTATTGCGATGTTGCGACTTTTTTCTCGACATAATCCAAGTAAATAAGGTTTAAAAGTGCTTAATAACATTGATTCGGCATGTAAACAGGATTGAAACAGAGCAAAGGATCATGGTCTATGTAGTTCTCTCAGTTTTTTTAGCTGTTGCTGCACCATAACAATGAATTTAAGCAGATAAACTTGTGTATTGTGAGACTTTTGACGATACGAAATCGCAATATTTTGGTTATTGTTACATCCCTACATTCTATAGTGTCAATATAAGTTAAAGAAGATCTACTATTTTGCTTTTTCGGCGTTTTAAATCACAGTATTCATCCAAACAACTTCCATCACTGCTGAATCCTACGCACATCTAGTCTGATTCATCAGCCGGTTTCATGTAGTGGAAACTGTCTGACCTCGCAGCATTAAGATTCGTTCGCTCGACGGTAGGTGGGTACTTTTTTTATTTAACCAATCGCTGCTATTTGGTCGTGACTTATGTAATGCGCCAAATCCCGTAGGAAGAAGGGCAATAACGTCTTTCCCCTTGATCAAATTCACCAAACATTCTCTTTATTCTGTCTTTAAATCCTCGATCTCGGGAATCGTTGACAACACAGAATATATGGCCCTTCGCTGATTGGCTTCCGGGGTTTTTGACCAAAATTTTAAAACTACACAACTGCAACTTTATTTGTAACGCACTTCAAAAACAACACAGACTGACCAAAGTGCTACAGAACATAATTAAATAAAACAACATATGAATAAAAACAGAATCCAATAAAATGTCAACATCTCAAACTGTGTCAAAGGCCGAAGTGAACAAGTGCGTTTTAAGAACAGGTATAGAATAGGCTGGAATAATGTACAAAGGCAGCTCAATCCACAGTTTTGGTGCTTGAGAAATCCTCAAAGCTCAAAATGCAGTGTTCCACCTTGTGATGTCATGAAGCAGTAGTTTTCAAGCTTTGTTCATTTGTTTAATCTTAATTTGAAGGGACATTAAGCAGTAGTAGTTTTTTATTCGGCCATTTTGCAGCACTATAAAACAAAACAAAACAAAACATAGACTACAACTCCATGGATCATGACTGAAAGAGTTTAGGCTAAAATAAAAAGTTCTTATGCCAAATCCTATTAAACAATGACAGAATTCCAAGAAAGAAAATCAGCGTATGAACAGCAAGTTTGCATTTACAATTTCATTTACGACTTACTGTATATAAGAGACAAAATATACTTAAAACAAACTAAATTTAAAGAATAATTCATTCATTCCAGAGCTCTGTATCTTTCAAAACTTAACGCTTTATACTCTTTTTTTAAAGGCTTCTACAGTGTTGGACTTTTTTTTTTTAATCATCACTCAGATATTTCCATACACTAACCCGGGGGTGTCCAAACGTTTTTCATCAATGGTCACATATCTAAACACAGATGAAGCAGAGGGCTGATCGAGGGCCGTAAACTGGTGCTCAGTACAGTGAATAATTGAAATATGTGCATGTTTAACATGTTAGAATGAGTCATCAGACTATATTCATGATAAGATCCTCAAAACCACACACTAAATATTAAATATTAGTTTTATCAAGGCAGATTTTCAAAAAACTTGCAGTAAAAAGTTCATTTTTAATTGATGCAAGGTAATTTGGGCCAGTTCACCTGGAGGCCTGAGGGCCAAGAAAAGTTTGTCTGAGGGCCGCATTTAGCCCACGGGCCATAGTTGGACATGCCTGTACTAACCCCTATTTTTCTTTTTAGTTCTTAATTTTTTAAAGATGCCAATTTTGTTTTCGTTTATGGTCGCACAAAAAAAATTCATTAAAGCTCATAAAAACAGATGTTCCGCACCAGATTATAGCAACATTTGTTCATATAATCTTCAATATAATGATGTTAATTAAGTCAAATGAGTGCTCCAACCTGAAATTTGCACTTTAAAGTGAACATTTTATACAAAAAACTATATTTGAGTGATCCTTTATATAGAGTCTGTGTCTCTCCTCAGCTCTCTCTCTCTGTCACTTGTTCTACACACACTATTTGCAGATAATTCCGCTGTTAATCAAATCAGATATCGGTCTTAAAGCTCCAAGATTTGCCCGATATTTGAGAAAAACTTGAAATAAATAAAGCTTTAGAGCGGCATTAGCTTTTGTCCATCAGAAGGGGGCACTAAACTAAACACAGAGCTCAACCTGGTGCCAGAGGAGACTTAAAAATTGCAGTTACACATCTTTTTTTCCTGTTCTTATGCAGAGATAATAGTAACTTAAACATCAAAGTACAATATGGTGTCTCCTATAATATAATTTGGAGAATATGGTGAAAATCTGTCCTACATTTTGGCTCATTAGATACAATTATAAGAGCTAATCGACCATAGGAAAACACAAAAAAAACAAAAAAAAAAACATCTGCTGATCTCTATGCAGTATCAAAACAAAGAGAAGTAGTTTTAAAATCCTATATAATGCATAATAAACATCACATTTTCAAACTCAATTTCAATACTAAAGGTAAAGATTTGATACGAGATACAAATTTTGATGCCACTAAGAAACTTTTTTAGAGAATAGTGAGTAATTTTCAACTAAAAATAACAATAATTAAAGATACAGTGTGGTTAAGATCATTGTAAAGCTCTTTTTATTTTTTTTAAATGTTCAGTTTTGCCATTTATATTGGAACAGATGTGCAATTTCAATCAATCAATTAATCAAACTTTAAATTTTTTGTATGAATAGTGCTTTACAGTGATTAAAAACAATGCCACATGTCGTTCCAACAGGGTCTAAAAGTTTATCTATGTGCAATTTAAAATCACCGGTTATAATAATCACATTAAAGGACATATAGATAAAAACTCAAAGAACTCATTGATAAAAAAGATTGCATTTTTTTGGTGGTCTTTATACCGTGACGCATAAAATTTGGGGGTTGCTAAAAACAATTCAGTGGTGTTCGAAACTTGTAAAATTGTTCAGTAAAATAGGTTTGAGGGAGAAAGTGTATAGAAGCAGTGCCACTTCCCCTTTTACCATTTCTACCAATTTATGATTTGATAAAAATATTCTGATCAAACTTCACATTCTCAACACGTGCAGAATATTTGACAAAAAGATTGAAATATGAACTTAGTGACAATCCCATTTCAGAACATGTTTGTACAGATCTAAACTACAGGGTTACCAACTATTTTATTCACTTGACAGGAGATTTTATTGTTTGTGAGGGAAATTACAGAGCTTTCAAAATATTAGACTTTGAGATTTACCAATTGTGTCCAGTCTAATTGTGATTTCGATTTGATTTCTTTTGAAGCCCTGATTTTAACATTTATGAATTTAAGCCACACCTCATCTGTATTTAAAAGAATAGGGAAAAATCTGATTCTTATCAATACTAAAACTAATATCAAAACTAGATACTCATTCAAGTAAGTGATACAGGAAAGAAAACAACAACAACAAAACACATGACTGGATAAATATGATCTTTCCTGAACAGTTTCTTCTTGAGTTTTATCAGCACTAACATGACGTACTAAACAAATTTATTTATTATAGTTATTTTGTGTTGAAAATTACAAATATGTCTAAAACAGGCCCTCTTAAATGGACGTTTTTACAGAATAAATTACCTTATTTTTCATACATAATGCGCCTTATAATCGTGGTGTAATTCGTCCGGCGTTGCCTTTCTGTCTTGGTGAATGTGGATTATGAATGTGAATGTGGGTGGATTATTTCATTTATTTATTTTTTTTCCCCTATGAGGATGACTCAAATATACCTCGAGTAATAATGTGTTTAATGCAGCTTTGCACAAATTTGTTTACGTTTAACAGAAACCGAAACTTAAAACCACATGGCTCATTTGCATAAACTTAAGTGCTTAAAAAAACTGTTCGCTCCTTGTGACTGATGCAGTTCATCTCGACTCAGTGGAATATGAGCGTGTTCTCCAACAATCTTTTAAGCAGCGAGGCTTTGTAGTTTACCAAAGTCGTCCTAAAACATTTTGACAGATTTTTGAGCACCGTGTACCACATAAAATCAGTTTGAGGTCAGTAAACACAACCAGAATTAATACATACGTGCAGGTGCGCCTTTGCACATTCCATTGTGTGTATTTTTATATTTATGTATGTTTCGCGGCATGACTGGTCGTAGTATAATTAGGCCACCTATCAATGGCATGCTTTCCTTCTGCTGCGCTCTTGCTGTGCACCGCCTCGCCCTCCACACACCTGGATGTACGCTCATCTCCCTGCGCGCCCCGTTGCCTTTGCTGCTCGGCACAGGCCGCACCATGCCTTTTAGCTGCAGTTAGACTTTTGTGTTTGACTTGGTGGACTCGGCTGTCCCGTTTTCACTTTTGTTTGGTAAGGTTAGTTTGGGGAAGTCTTTTTTCCCTTAGGTTTGTGATTCTGGTACCAGCTTCTGGCCCGGTGCCGCATCATTTTGTTCTGTTTGGCCGACTCACCAGGTCCATCTTTCAGTTGTTACTTTGTTTTTAGGCACGGGAGGGGATTTAGCGTTTTTTAAAGTAAATTAAAATTAATGTTTGATCCACCCGGGTCATAACAAAGGCACACTGTCGATTCTTAAGAACATTACAAGATTGTAAGTGCTCCTTATAGTCCGAAAAATACGGTATGTTTTGATGGTGCTAAATGTTTGTTTTTTTTATCATTAATGTTGAACTTTTATATTGTTAAAATAGTGGATGGACTTGTCTTGAATCTTTTTCTTTAACTATTTATATGGTATTTTTTTTGCATATTATGAAAACTACATGTGGAAGGTAATGACCATGCAAATAAAGAATAAAAAAGAGCTTTTAAAATGATAATTTGTGTATCAAAATCTGTATAGAGTATGGAGTTTTCTCTTTAGCACTGAAATAGAGTTGGAAAAGTTCGTGTGGTGCCAACGTGTTCTGAGACGTCGTGTTAAACCCGGCGTTACCTGCGTGCCCGGTGCTGATGTGTCCCTTCATGTCTCCCTCGTCCATGCACACGAAGTCACAGGAGCTGCAGCAAAGGGAGAACATCCACTGCTCGCGGTCCACATGGAGAGACATGTGGCTCACAAACTGGGCGTTCAGCTCCGTCTGGAAACCGCACACATGGCAGCTGGACCCACAAGACAGGGGGAAGAATCAGACCACAGAGACGGGCACAGACGGGCACAGGCAGCGCTACATTCTGCTGCATAAATTCATAAGTGGCACGCAAGCCAGCCGCGTTTGACAAATCATTACAATTGGAAATGTGGAACAAAGAGGATTAAAAGCTGGCTAGTGATTTTTAATTTCAGAGTCAAGAATGTGCAACTAAAAAGACTGAAGGGAAGTGAAGGATTTGAAGTGGCCGTGGACGTTTTTTTTCTGCGTTTCCGAGCAGAATCTTTAGTTTCAGTACAGATACATCGTTTAAGTGGCTTTTTACGGTAGATATAAGACCACTGAGTGATTTCTGCATTTAATAATAAAGCGTTTTATGGAGCTCAGCAGCGACCGCCAATGCCCCTGCTTCTGGAAGTCAATTTCTCATTCAGTTTTCCCATAGACTTTCCAAAAAATATATATTAAAAGTTTGAAAGCTCAGCTACGTGGAAACTAATGACCACAAGACAATCTGTGAGTCATTCATTCATTTGTTTTTCAATATAAAACCAAAAATAAGAAAACGAAAAAAAAAAAAAAAAACCTACCATTTTCTTCGTTATTTGTCTCCAAAACCGGAAATGAAAAAACAGATAATGATTTGTTTGTTTCAGTTTTTGATTTTGTGTTTAAATGAAGAAAGGAAAAAATGGATAACGCACTGCATACGGACTGAACCAGGACTAAACTGTTTTCAGTCCTGGTCTGGTCCCAGCCTCAGTCCTGGTCCTGTTCCCAGTCTCAGTTCTGGTCTGAGTTCTGGTCTGGTCCCGGTTTCAGTTCCAGTCTCAGTTCAGGTCTCAGTTCTGGTCTCAGTCACAGTCTAGTCTCTGTCTGGTCCTGGTTTCAGTCTCGGTCCTGTTCCCGGTCTCGAGTTCTGGTCTGAGTTCTGGTCTGGTCCCAGTCTCAATCCCAGTCTCAATCCCAGTCTGGTCTCGCTCTGGTCCCGGTCTCAGTCCTGGTCCTGTTCCCAGTCTCAGTTCTGGTCTGAGTCCCGGTCTGAGTCCCGGTCTGAGTCCCGGTCTCAGTCCCGGTCCTCAGTCCCGGGTCTCAGTCCCGGTCCTGCTCCCGGTCCTGCTCCGTCTCCTCCCGGTCCTGCTCCCGGTCTCAGTTCTGGTCTGAATTCTGGTCTGGTCCCAGTCCCAGTCTCAATCACACTCTGGTCCTGGTCTCACTCCCGGTCTCACTCCTGGTCCTGTTCCTGGTCCTGTTCCTGGTCTTAGTTCTGGCCTGAGTTCTGGTCTGAGTCCGAGTCTGAGTCCCGGTCTCAGTCCCGGTCTCAGTCCCGGTCTCAGTCCCGGTCTCGCTCCCGGTCCTGTTCCCGGTCTCAGTCCTGGTGTGAGTTCTGGTCTGATCCCATTCTCAGTCCTGGTCCTGGACTCTGTGCTGGTCTAGTCCCGGTCTGGTCCCGGTCTGGTCCCGGTCTGGTCCCAGTCCTGGTTCAGACCGTATGTGGTGCAAACGTCCGAAATCCCGTAAACAGGAAACGGCCGTTATCCATTTTTCCATTTTGGTTTTGGAGACAAATAATGAAGAAAATAGTAGTTTTTTTTTCAATTTTCTTATTTTTGGTTTTATATTGAAAAACAAATGAACGAATGATACACGGATTCTAGACCCATACTATTATTTAAAATCTGTTTCTGAAACTTTACAAACCACTAATTTATTAAAACATTTCGCAGAATCTTTAGTTTAGTCCTTGATACTTTTGAACTCTTAATATGTGACATTTTTAGTAAGTCTACAGGAAAAATTTACAGAAAATGTACTTCTAGCGTGGGCAGTCACTGTTGAGCTCCACTGTCATAGAATCAGGGAGAGCGCTGTTAGCATTCTAGTCGTTTTTTTAGCATTACATTACATTACAAAACTCCGGTCGGCCTCTGAAAGTTCATCACGGTGAAAAATAAAGATGTGAGGAACGCGCAGGTTAAATGAGGAATAACTTTGGACCCGTGTAAGCGCTTAACAAAATGAATTCATTATATTTATGATTAAAAGTGCACTATGTAACATTTCTGGTGTCAGTCCATTTATGTTCCATCTCCATCGAGACGAGCGGGCGGCACCGGCGGGCCAAGGTGAACCTGCTCAAGAAAGAATGCAGGTTTATGAAAGTATTTCAGCTGCAAAAACACGTGTAAGTGAATAAACTCAAGAAAGATGAGACACAGAGAGAGAAAGAAAGAGAGATAGACAGATAGATATAAAGAAATGGAGAGATAAAGAGTGAGATATAGATATACAGATATAGAGAGATACATAGAGATAGAGAGATAATAGATATAGATATTAGAGATAGATATAATAGATATAGATAGACAGAGAGAGAAATATATAGAGAGAGAAGAGAGAGATAAATACAGAGAGACAGAGATAGATATAATAGATAAAGAGAAATAGATATAGAGAGTTAGATAGAGCTAGATAGATAGATACAGACAGACAGAATAATAGGTACAGATATTAGAGATAGTCAGATAGATAGAAAGATAGAGAGATAATAGATAGATGGAGAGATAGACAGATATAATAGATAGATAGATAGATAGATAGATAGATAGATAGATAGATAGATAGATAGATATAATAGATGGATGGATGGATAGAAAGAAAGAGAAAGATAGACAGACAGAAAGAATAGGTAGATAGAAAGCTAGAAAGAAAAAGATAGATATAATAGATAGATATAATAAATAGATAGATATAATAGATAGATAGATATAATAGATAGATATAAATAGATAGATATAATAGATAGACAGATAGATATAATAAATAGATATAACAGATTGATCGATATAATAGATAGATATAATAGATAGATATATAAATAGATAGATATAATAGATAGATATAAATAGATAGATATAAATAAATAGATAGATATAATAGATAGATAGATATAATAGATAGATATAAATAGATAGATATAATAGATAGATATAATAGATAGATAGATATATAGATAGATATGATAGATATAATAATAGATATATAATAGATAGATATGATAGATAATAAATAAATAGATAGATATAATAGATAGATATAGATATAATAGATAGATAGATATATAGATAGATATAATAGATAGATATAATAGATAGATAATAATAGATAGATATAATAGATAGATATATATATAGATAGATATAATAGATAGATAGATATAGATAGATAAATAGATAGATATAATAGATAGATATAATAGATAGATATATAGATAGATAATAGATAGATATATAATAGATAGATATAATAGATAGATATAATAGATAGATAGATATAATAGATAGATAGATATAATAGATAGATAGATAATAGATAGATATAATAGATAGATATAATAGATAGATATAGATAGATAGATATAATAGATAGATAGATATAATAGATAGATATAATAGTATTATATCTATCTATCTATTATATGTATATCTTTCTCTTTCTATCTTTCTATCTATCTATTATTATAATAGATAGATAGAAAGAAAAAGATAGACAGATAGATATAGAGATAATATATATAGATATAATAGACAGATCGATAGATATACATACATTTATTTTGCCTGTTATTATAGAATAGAAATAGTTACTTTTTGTGTTATATCTATGTATTTACTTTTTTTATTTTTTTATTTATGTTCTATGTATTACTGTCCGAATAAATATTCATTCATTCATTCATATAGAAATACAGAGATATACAGAGATACATAGATATAGACAGATATATAGATATAGATCGATAGATATAGAGAGATAATAGACAGATTTAAAGAAATAGAGAGAGATAGATAGATATACAGATATAGAGAGATACATAGATATAGATAGAGAGATAGAGATGGATAAAGATAGATATAGAGAGATAGACAGACACAACAGATAATAGACAGACAGATATAGACAGATATAAATAGATGTAATAAATAGATAGACAGAAGAGAAATAGATATAGATAGATAGAGGGAGAGAGACAGAGATAGAGAGAAATATGGAGATAATAGAGAGACAGATAGAGATACAGACAGATAGATAGAGAGAAACAGAGATAATAGATAGATATTAGAGATATAAAGATAGAGAGATAATAGATATAGAGAGATAGAGGTACTGAGATAGATAGATAGATAGAGAGAGACATAGAGAGATAGATATAATAGAGATAGATAGACAGAGAGATAATAGATAAAAGAGATATAGAGATAGATATCGATAGAAAGAGGCAAATATAAGATAGATAAAGAGAGATAGACAGAGATAGAGAGACAGATAGATATAGATACATATAGAGAAAGATTTAGAGATATAGAGAAATAGAGATATTAGAGATAGATAAATAGATAGATAATAGATAGATAGATAGATAGATAGATAGATAAATAGATAAATAGATAAATAGAATAAATAGATAGATAGATAGATAGATAGAATAGATAGATAGATAGATAGATATAGATAGATAGATAGATAGATAAATAGATAGATAAATAGATAGATAGATAGATAAAAATAGATAGATAGATAGAATAGATAGATAGATAGATAAATAGATAGATAGATAAATAGATAGATAGATAGATAGATATAGATAGATAGATAGATAGATAGATATAGATAGATAGATAGATAAATAGATAGATAGATAGATAGATAGATAGATAGATAGATAAATAGATAGATAAATAGATAGATAAATAGATAGATAGATAGATAGAATATAGATAGATAGATAGAATAGATAGATAAATAGATAGATAAATAGATAGATAAAGATAGATAAATAAATAGATAAATAGATAGATAGATAGATAGATAGATAAATAGATAGATAAATAGATAAATAGATAGATAGATAGATAGATAGATAGATAAATAGATAGATAGATAAATAAATAGATAGATAGATAAATAAATAGATAGATAAATAGATAAATAGATAGTGTGACTGTGTTGTGTGTTATTGTGAAGTGTTTTGGGCGTCCTGAAAAGCACTATATGAATCAAAAACATTAGATAAGTTTCCATGGAGATAACAAAGTCAAGAAAGCCCACACCAGAAATGTTACACAGTGCACCTTTAAATCGCCCATATTACACTATTTTCTCATCTATATTAAAATGTTTCGTCCCATCAAAGTCAGACCTGGAGTTGTGTTTTGTTTCATTCACACACGTTTAACACACTAATCCAGCGTTCTTCTCTTAAATAAAAACACACTGTTCCACTTTGTGACATCATGTGGTGATACAGGAAGTGCTTTTTAAACCCCATACACCTTCACAAGAATAATTTGGATAATTTCAGCCCGATATTTACAGAACTAAACGTGAAATGTAGCTGCGTATTTTGAGTTTTGGAGATACAGACAATAAATATTAAAGGGTGAATGAAACGAAACTCAAATCCAGGTCTGTTTTTGAAGAGGTAAAGACATTACACGATCAATTTTGCGTAATCTAGAGCCGTACATTAATGTCTATCGGATTAACAGTGGACACTTCAGACGGGTCACGGCCGGCTGCGTGGAAGGCATCACTGTTTGGTTTGTGAGGTTGTGCACTCTGCCGTGACATTTAAGAGGAGCCAAACAAAAGGGTCAGGCTTGAGTCATGCGGACGGGACATGTCACTGCAGAGAAGTTCAATGTGTTCGCTGGAATCTTTTCAAACGCACAGCTTATTTATTTTTATGACCAAGCTGACAAAGTTTAGCGCTCTTCCTGTGCTAAAGAGGGCTTGAGTCATTGTAGTCGGGCCAAATCGAGCCAAGAAAGCAGTCTTGATACTTTGCAGCTGACGTTATCGACATTCTCTGGGGGTGTGGAGGTAACTGTAGGCACTGCTCTGTCTGTGACCTCGGGGAACATGCTTTTTTTTTTTTTTTTTTTTGCTGTACTAGAATCAAGTGTAATTGCACATCCACTACAGTAGTTGGCAGCATAGTGTCGGGTTTTTTTGCACCGAGTTCAGTGACCAAACCCTCAAGAGACGAAATTGGAAAAATATTTAACCAGGATGACAAAAAAGGCGGAGAAAGACGGAGATAATGAAACAAACGACCGCCTCCCCAAAGCTAAGACGAGGAAATGCGACGAAGTGTATGTAGCGCTCGACTTCATTGTGATTACGGTGGGAAATGAGGAAAGACGCTGTATTTACTGTGTCTAAAAATGTTGGCAGCGGACAGCATGAAGACAAATAAATAAAAGGTGTCGCGTAAAGACATTATGATAAGCCACTTGAGTTTTTGCAGCGAAAACGTGAAGATTATTGCCAAGAATCATCCCGCTTTATGAATACAAATTACCGTATTTTCGGACTATAAGTTGCACTTTTTTCATGGTTTGGGTGCGACTCATACTCCGGTGTGACTTATGTATTAAAATTTTCACACTGACAGTCACGAGAGGCTCTAGTCTTGGGTGTCAGTATCTGCTGCTCCTGTTCCTCCTGTACCACTGTCACTTCACTCTACTGCGCGTGTCTCCTGCAGAAAGAGCCTCTGTCCTGTCTGTATCATGTCAGTCGATCGCACAATTACTTCTGAACCACTGACAATTTAAAAAAAACTTATAAAGACAACCGAAACCATCGTGTCAGGATTCAGAAAGGCCGGAATAATTCCAACTGAAACTGACGACAGCGACACAGAAGAGGAAGCGGCGCTCTGTTTACCTCCGGAGGTCGTGGAGTTGCTCAGAAGTGACACCGAGGATGAAGAATTGAATGGATTTAGTGATTTTGAGTGAGATGGAGAATTTGGTAAACTTGTTATAGTTTATCGGAAGAACTGTTCATATGTGACGTTAACAGTCTGTTGTTCTCTGTTCTATTGTTATTGCTAGAACTTTCCTTTTAAGATGAAATGTCGATTCCTGGTCTCTGATTTTATAAAATATTTCCCCTAAAAAGTGCGACTTAGATATGTTTTAGTGCTTCTTTATTATGCATTTTTTGGCTACTGCGACTTATAGTCCAAAAAATACGGTATACTCTTTGTAGTCGCGGAGGAAAGTAGAGAGCACGAAATGTTTTCCTCTTCCAAGGGGGGCGTAACAGAAAAAAATTGATGAGCACTGACTTAGACTTTAATCTGATCCCCATAGAGATACATGTAGAACACCCCCAGCGTGATGAGTCACTGCAAAGTATCAGTCCTACAGAAATGCAAAATATTATACTTTATTTAACTATTTAGGAATTCAAGAATCTACTTCACAAATTCCGCATCATCAGACGTTTTCCACATACCTTTTGGCATAGCATCGTGAGCCGAATACCTGCAG